TTTCTAAGGATGGAGTGATGGTGGATCCTTCTAAGGTTGAGATAGTGAAGAATTGGGTAAGACTCACTAACGTCTCAGAAATAAGGAGCTTTGTTGGGTTAGCTAGCTACTACCGCCGATTTGTCAAGGGATTCTCTTCTATTGCTTCCCAATTGACGAATTTGACTAAGCAGAATGTTTCATTTGTATGGTCGGACGAATGTGAGGAAAGCTTTTAGAAGCTCAAGACTTTGTTGACTACCGCACCTATCCTTACCTTGCCAGTAGAGGGTAAGAACTTCATTGTTTATTGTGATGCATCCTATTCTGGTTTGGGTGCAGTACTAATGCAAGAGAAGAGTGTGATTGCTTATGCTTCAAGGAAACTAAAGGTGCATGAACGTAACTATCCGACCCACAATTTGGAATTGACTGTGGTGGTGTTTGCATTAAAGCAATGGAGACACTATTTATATGGGGTTAAGTGTGAGATCTATACAGATCATCGTAGCCTACAGTATGTCTTTACTCAGAAAGATTTGAACTTGAGATAGAGGAGATGGATGGAACTACTGAAGGACTACGACATCACTATTTTGTATCATCCGGGGAAGGCGAATGTTGTAGCGGATGCTTTAAGTAGAAAAGTGGGAAGCATGGGAAGTCTAGCTCATGCAAGCTTCTAGACGCCCATTGGCTAGAGAGGTTCAGACTCTAGCTAATGACTTGATGAGATTAGAAGTAAATGAGAAGGGAGGATTGTTGGCTAGCGTGGAGTCAAGATCTTCTTTTCTTGACAAAATTAAGGGAAAACAGTTTGATGATGAGAAACTAAGGCGAATCCAAGATAAAGTATTGCGAGGGGAGGCTAAGGAAGCACAAATCGATGAGGAAGGTGTTTTGAGAATCAAGGGAAGGGTATATGTGTACCCCGCGTCGATGATTTGATCAACACTATTCTGACAGAAGCTCATAGTTCAAGGTATTCTATACATCCGGGTGCAACCAAGATGTATCGTGACCTAAAACAACACTTTTGGTGGAGTAGAATGAAGCGTGATATTGTTGACTTTATTGCCAAGTGTCCAAACTGTCAACAAGTAAAGTATGAACACCAAAGGCCCGGAGGAACACTTCAGAGAATGCCCATTCCGGAATGGAAGTGGGAGAGAATTGCAATGGACTTTGTGGTTGGTCTTCCAAGGACAATGGGTAAGTATGACTCCATTTGGGTGATTGTTGATAGGTTAACTAAATCTGCTCATTTCATTCCGGTAAAGGTGACTTACAATGCAGAGAAGTTAGCCAAGATCTATATCTCAGAAATCGTTCGATTGCATGGGGTTCCACTATCCATCATATCAGATGGAGGTACGCAGTTTACTTCTAAGTTTTGGAAAACATTGCATGCGGAATTGGGTACTAGGTTGGACCTTAGTACTGCGTTCCATCCTCAGACCGATGGTCAGTCTGAAAGGACGATTCAAGTGTTGGAGGATATGCTTCGTGCATGTGTGATAGAGTTTGGTGGCCATTAGGATAGCTTCCTACCCTTAGCGGAGTTTTCATACAATAAGAGCTATCACTCAAGTATTAATATGGCCCCATTTGAAGCATTGTATGGGAGGAGATGTAGGTCTCCCATTGGTTGGTTTGATGCATTCGAGGTTAGACCTTGGGGTACTGACCTTTTGAGGGATTCGATAGAAAAAGTGAAGTCTATTCAAGAAAAGCTTCTAGCGGCGCAAAGTAGACAAAAAGAATATGCAGATCGAAAGGTTAGAGACTTAGAGTTCATGGAAGGTGAACAAGTCTTGTTAAAGGTTTCACCAATGAAAGGGGTGATGCGATTTGGTAAGCGAGGTAAACTTAGCCCAAGGTATATTGGTCCATTTGAAGTACTTAAGCGAGTAGGGGAGGTGGCTTATGAGTTAGCCTTGCCTCCAGGGCTGTCCGGAGTGCATCCGGTATTCCATGTGTCTATGTTGAAAAGATATCATGGGGATGGAAATTACATTATCCGTTGGGATTCAGTTTTGCTTGATGAGAATTTGTCTTATGAGGAGGAGCCTGTTGGTATTTTAGATAGAGAAGTTCGCAAGTTGAGGTCAAGAGAGATTGCATCCATCAAGGTGCAATGGAAGAATCGACCCGTTGAAGAAGCCACTTGGGAGAAGGAGGCGGATATGCGAGAAAAATACCCATATCTGTTTACCGATTCAGGTACTCCTTTTCGCCCTTGTTTTCCTTCTTGTGATCGTTCGGGGACGAACGATGGGTAAATTGGTATCTAATGTAACGACCTGTTTAGTCGTTTTGAGTAGTAAATTTTATTTCTGGAAAAACAGGCTGAGACGACGGAACCCACGACGGAACGTCATGGGCACGACGGACCGTCGAGGGTGTCTCGTCCCAAAACACTTAGAAAATCTGAAATTGGGTACGGAAAATCGACTCTCTAAACTTCGTGACGGAATGGCAGGACGGGCCGTCACAGACCCTTCAGAGAAATTGAGTCTCTGAACTCTGTGACGGGCAGTAGGACGGACCGTCGCAGGCGCGACGGGCCGTCACAGACTGCGAAATCCCAGTCCGGGTCGGATTTTTTTATACGTTTTAAGGGACGTTTTTGACTATTCTTGCCTTAATTATAAAGTTAGTTGGTTAATGTTAATAACTCTAATTACTTGGGGGTTAAAAGAGGTAACCTTAAGTTAATTAGGAGGTTATTATTGTCATCTTTTATTCTTAATTATATACTAATTAGGGTAAAAGAAAGAGGGCTGGAATAAGAAAAATAAGAAAGGACAAAGAGAGACAGAAAAAGAAAGAGAACGAGTAGAGAGAGAGAGAGAAACGAAGGGGATAGCAAGGATTTTGAGAAGATAGCTTGTTGATCGCAATTCTTCGGTGGAGGTAGGTTATGGTTTTCATGCTATTCGTAGTAAACTCTTAATAGCGAATGATATGTGTTAGTAGTATTGTAAACCTTCTATATGCTTAATTATATACTTGCATGAATGATGTGATTATGTAATTGTGAATAAATAAGCATGATGAAGCTATTGAATCCCAAATCTTGAAAAGAAATCCTAATCTACTTTGTTAATGATGATGCCTTGGTATAAAAGAAGGCTTGATGAACGAAAGTGGTGAGATTAGGGGATCGGGTGCCACGTTCCGATACCAGGATAGTATATGAGGATCGGAGTGTCACGTTCCGACACCAGGATAGTATATGGATCGGGTGCCACGTTCCGGTACCAGGATAGTATATGAGGATCGGAGTGTCACGTTCCGACACCAGGATAGTATATGGATCGGGTGCCACGTTCCGGTAACAGGATAGAATATGGATCGGGTGTCACGTTCCGACACCAGGATAGTATATTGAGGAGCGGAGTGTCACGTACCGACACGAGAGGAATAAAGATAATGAGTCTTGAAAGATGATAATATATTCAAATCTAATGAACCTAATTCCCAAATGAGTATGATGAGGAGGCGTGAGTCCTCAGTGATGTGCTTGGTGTTGTAACCAAGGGTTATGGTAACTGTAAATGCTGCATGCTAAGGATATTAGTTGATTTTATGATATTATCTGATATATACTGTTTTCTATTTTGAGTTGGCCGATGATATCTACTCAGTACCCGTGTTTTGTACTGACCCCTACTTTTATGTTTTCTTCTTGTTTATTTGTGGAGTGCAGCAAACGTGCCGTCGCCTTCGACTCAACAGTAATTCAAGCCAGTCTTACTACACCGGAAATTCAGGGTGAGCTAATGCTTCTAGCTTGGACTGGATCTTCTTCTTCAAGTCTTGATGCCTTGAACTTTCGGCATGGACTAGCTTCTTATGTATTTTTAGCTTTTAGAATAATCTTAGTTTAGTCATTTGATCGTAGATGTTCTTGTGGTGATGACTTCCAGATTTTGGGGATAATAATAGTTATTGATTTTATTAATGAGTTTAAGTCTTCCGCATTACTTTATATTGAAATGTTAAGGTTTAGATTGGTTGGTTCACTCACATAGGAGGGTAAGTGTGGGTGCCAGTCGCGGCCCGGATTTGGGTCGTGACAGAAAATAAGTACAAATTTATTTTCAAAAAATAAAGAATAATGCATTCACGCGCAGCTAATGAAATACTCTTAGTTCGACACCTCAACATTTTGTGTTTTATAGATACATGTCTTGAACAATTTTAGGTGTGTTCAATAGATACAAGTCATGGTTCAGGTATCTAAGTAAATTATGCGGATAATTTTAACGGGTCGTGAATAACTTAAACCTATGATGTATTACTAATACCTTCCATTTGGAGGTATTAGTAATACATAGGATATATAATACCATGAGATAAGTTTATATAAAAATAAAAATATCCCTCAAAATCATTTTAATTTTTTTTTCTTTTTCTTGAATTTTTGTTTTAATTTGTACTAGTAAATTTATTTAAAATAAATTAACTTACAAATTATTTAGTAAGAGTTGGTTCTTACGAAATATATCTAATACAAATTGATACAAATTTAAAATGTGAGTTATTTAACACTGACTAATTAAAAGACAAATATATCACTAACTATTTGTATTTTGAACAATTTAAAAAATTACATACATATTAAAACTATTACTTGCAATTTTTATGTGTAAATGTAGATGATTTATTCAATTTTACCATTGTTTACCGTCTTTTTAATTTTAAAAATAGTTAGTTTATCTTTTTTTTTAAATTGAAAATTGACAATTTGTGAGTGGTCAATTTTATCAGGATGAAAATTATATATTCTCAAATAATTCAAATAGAAAATTAGAAAAATGACAACAAAATTATTTTTCTCATAGTCACATAGGAGGCCATAAAAAACATTTTCCGAGGATTACTAACCTTAACCCAATTACATAACAATTTAAAGATGTAATTAAATTATTTTTAAAAAAGTTTTAATTCAAACACAAATTAAATTTAAAATAATGAACCAAAACCTTGATAAAATAAACCCTTCGTTACTAATGTTTACCTTATTAATTCCTGCTTAACAAACAAGCCTAACAGTCTGGCATAGAGAAAAAACCTAATGTTCAATCCCAAATAGATTTCGGAACCCTACCGGATTAGCACGCATTAAATTTATTCCGATTTGATTCAATTTCTAGAGCGAGGAGCACTTTGGGTTTTCTGTAGGGCTAAATGGGGAAGAGGAAGAAGAGATCATCCGATAAAGTATGGTGCTACTACCGTGACAGGGAGTTCGACGATGAGAAGATTTTGGTTCACCATCAAAAGGCTGAACACTTCAAATGCTGTGTTTGCCATAAGAAGCATTCTACTGCTGGCGGCATAGCCATTCACGTTCTCCAGGTTCACAAAGAAACCGTCAGCCAGTAAGTAAGTTCTTTTTGCTGAGAATTCTCTAGATATATTCTTAAATTTGCCCTTTTTAGCCATGTGCGTTGATATATTTCTTGTACTTTAGCATTGAGAGTGGTTTTCGTATGTTTTGTTGGTGCTGTTGTGGACATGTTTCCATCTTCCACAGAAGGGAACAAAATGTTGAAGCCATGAAATTGGGGGACACGGAGCTCATTGGGTGTGCGTGTCATAGTGAGTGGATGTACTACTTTGAGCAGATACCTTGAAGGCTGTTTAAGAACATAGTTTAGTTGATGAGAATATTTTGGGACACAAAAGAATTAAAAGTAGCTCGAGAATTCGGTCATACTAGAGAATGATATGGTTATTTTCAAGTAGTCATAATGTTACTGATGCAGAAAATTAAAATTTGTTATGTAACCTCTAAGTAATTCATGCCTACTAACTTTAAAGCTAGAAAAAAATGTGTTATTTTAGGTTCTCTTGTTATGAATACCTTGATACATCTTTATAAAAAATGTTGTCCCTTGATCAATATTTTGTGCATTGGGTGTTCCCTCTCATTAAGAAAATTATTTCACCAAAAAAAAGCATCATCTAAAATAGTTCAGGTTTTTGATTTATAATGTAGGGCAACATCTCCCCAAAACTATATAGATATAATATGCCTATGCTTGAAATATTTCATTTCTATAGAATTTGCCTAATGTACAGCTGCGGAAAGAGGTCATTTACTCCATCTTAGAAGTTAAAATGTTATGGTAGAAGAGCACACTTACCTGTTGATGCAACTAAAAGAATTGTGTATGTAATACTTATTTGGGTAGAATAGAAAACAATGGAAGCAAATGATCCGTATATAGATACCAAGTGAAATTACTGAGTATTGCAATAAAACAGGTCCTATGGAGCAGAATAGATGTTAGGGATCCTTATACAGACCCTAACTATTTTGGGATGGAGACAATTGCAGTTGATGTTGTAGATGGGTACTTCTGATGTTTAAACTTTAAAGCAAATTTGACCTTGTTTTTCTGACCCACTTACCACATAGCAAAATTCCTAAAGCTTCTTGCCAAAATTTCTTGCCTGCTCTAATTACCAAGGGATCATTTGTAGGATGGGATCCAATATGCTGATTATGTCTCATGCTACTTTCTTTTTGTTGCATTTTTATCCGTTTTTTGGCAATAAATGCATTAAGCTATCATATTTGGCTATTACAGGGTACCAAATGCCAACCTTCTGTCTACTGATATTGAAGTATATGGAATGCAAGGAATCCCAAGTGATTTGTTAGAAGCTCACTATGGAGAGGAAGGTAAGAACAGTGCGTGATGTGCTTAAATTTTACCTCTTTGAATTCATGGATGAGCCATATGGTTGCTGAATTGTAGCAAGAAAATATGTAACCTTTGCTTTCACTTCTTTCTTGTTATACCATTGTACTAGTACTATTGAATTGCTATTCTTGTGGCAAAGAATGTTTCCTCGACTTAGAGAGGAGCCTCATTATCCATCAAGTTTTGAACCATGCGTGACTGGTCCTTAGAGATTTCTTTGGCTATCAAAGAAGAATATTTTCTTAACTTGGTTTTATAAACTTAAATTGGGGTTTTTGAAAATTTGAAATAATGCTACCGATGTTCCTGGTTTTGCTTGAATTTAGCAAAGCCTAGAGCTTGAATCATCGATCTCATTTTTGTCGGATGTCCTCATGGCTCCGAAGGGAACTCTGGAGCTTGTATATTAATAACTCCATGCTATTGGTTTTAAGTCTCTGATTCATTATGGGCTCCTGTGCATCTCCACCTCTATAGAACCCTGTAGGATGCTTGTTTTAGAGCTTTTCAACTTTGCATCTTGCTAATGGCAATTAATGTCTGAATTCCTTTTTTTCTGTCCACTGGTTTTAGGTATGGGCGTGCATTCAATTTTCTATGTTTGGTTTTGTGGATTTTTCAAACTTTGGTTTGAAAAAGTGTAAACCAATCTGAACCAAAATAAATATTTTTTGATTTTTCTCTTTTCGGGTTGGCTTTTTCGGTTCCGTTATGTCAATAATTAGTAATATAATCAAAGTTATATATGCAATTTGAAAAAAAAAATACAAGGAGAAGTAACAATATTGAATTTCTTAATGTACTTTCTAATATAAATCGCAAGTAAAACTTAAAACATAATACTTAAAAAGTATACATATTATTGATGTACAAACATAAAATATAAACTAAATCATAATGAGAAGGCAATAATTAAAAAGGGATAAAAGTCATTAAGTCTAACTTATTCTAAACCTAAATATTTTCTCTCTCTCTCTCTCTCTCTCTATATATATATATATATATATATATATATATATTTTTAAATTTTTTTTTCCGGTTATTTTGTTATTTTGGTTTTATTTTCTAAATCTGAAACCAAATGAAGTATATTGTTAATCCAAAATTAAACCAAATAAATTAGGTTCGATTTGATTTTTTGGTTTAATCTTAGTGCACACCCCTGCTTTTAGGTGTTTAAAGCTTTTTACCTTTGTGTTTGAGCTTTTAGTGCATTTCTTTATTTGAGTTAGTATGAGCTTATTGCCTTTTCAGCTTTCTGCAGATATTTTCCTCCGACACTAATAGGTCTTCTGTCTGCTCATTTTCATGACTACATAAAGCTAAATATGTTTGTCTGTTGGATTTTATTTTCCTGTAGAAGATGAGTCCGCAGCTAAAACTGCCAAAGTGGACATTCCATCATCCCAGTATCTTGGTGGTGCAATTCTAGGATATCCTCCCTGAGCAATTTTTAGCATAGTGCCACCACTGTATGTTTCTAATAGATATGCCTTTTCTTTTCAGTTCCTTTGTGCTAGAATACTTTATGATATGCTGTTGCATGAGTTAGCTTATTTTAAAAACCTTTCCTTTCTGTATCCTATATGCTAAATCTTTGGACATGGATGATTTTTATCTATTAGCAAGATATTTGGGGTTTGTGAGAAGCATGCCCGCATAAGATCCAAGACATAGTCTCTTTATTTTGTGCTTCAAGTGTGAAGTCAGTTCATCTTGAAGTATGTTCTCCTTGAATAAGTTTTGTTTAAGATGGAAACTGTCATTCATGTCGATTTATCACTATATCAAAGAGTATATTCCTTGAATGAGTATCTGTGGTCATTCCTTGAATAAGAATCTGTGGTCAAGACAGAACAAATACAAAGAGTCATAGTGTGTCTTGATAAGAAGAAAATATTTTCAATTCTGACTAGTCAATGTCACAACAATCTATAGAGAAGGACAAAACATATACTTGCCTCTGTTTAAAATGACCTAGTTTGACTTGGAACGGAGTTTAAGAAAAAAAAGACTTTTTAATCTTATAGTTCTAAATTAAGGTTATGTCAAATGAACCAAAATGCTCTTTAATCTTGTGGTCTTAAACTTGTCATGTGGAAAGTTAAAGTTAAAGTATTGCCAAAAAAGGAAATCAATCATTCTTTTTAAAAACGGAGAGAGTATTTCATTTAAGAGGGTAACTTTAAGAATTTTTAACATGGAACCTATCCTGAGTCAATGGATCAGCAAAAAACGAGAGGCAAGCTCTCTCTTTGAACTAAAGTAATTCTTTGTATAGTTGACTTCTGATCTTCTTAAGAACTACAACTTACTTTATCCTTATCACTATGGGAGGAAAGAGGGAGGTTGTGATAGTTTGGGGGGACGGGGGAGCTACATCTTGTTTTATTTCTCTATTCTAGGATTACCAACTCTTTCTTCTGAAAGATTTCCTATGTTAGGACTTAGGAGTAGTATTACTTGATAAAACAAGCAAAATAATGAATATATGAGATAAGGATTGAATCTCATTAAGGTCAAACAAGCAAAGTAATGAAGATATTTTTTAATGTTTTAGACTACTTGTAAAAAATTAGTGCTGCTAGGGGTTCAAGGTGTAAGTTTTGTAACACTTATGAAGGGGAACTGCATATTTGGATGTAGTATACCTATTGTGAATATATAGATTAATTGTTACCATCCTTAAAAGAAGGATTCGAGCTCATTATTATCGTAATGATCAGAAAATCCCAGTTCCAACTTTGTTATAGTAATGGTTTGGCATAGTGTTCTGGCCTATAGGTAATGCAAAAAATTGTATCCGTAGGATAGTTGGGTTGTTGAGGAATAGGAGCAACAGTCTGGAAATTTCATGTTCGAATCCCTGTTACAACGCTTAGTATGAATCCATATTTTGCAACTCTTGTTGACTCAGGGTTACCGACTCACCGGTATGGTAACACCTACACTTATGGATGTTAATGAACTACTTGGTGGGTTAGTCAAGTAGCATGCAACTTGGAAAAGATACTGCCATCATTAAAATAAGAGGATCTTAGGGAAAATTTTAGCCTTTGCATTTAGTTGTTGTCAACCTTCTCGTCTATATTTTGTTGTTTTTTGGGCATGCGTTGAATTTATTAGCAGCTTTAGACTTCTAATCACTAGCTCTAATAGGTGTATAAATTCTTACATGGACCCTATCTTTTTGGTGTATATATAATCCCGCGTTGCCTATGCCTCCTGCTGGTTGGTCAGTTCCCCGTCACCATCTTTCTTGGTATTCACAATATCTTGCTGTCTTGGTTCCACCTCCTGCACTGATGGTTCTACCACAACCATTTTTTCTTGTGCAAAATATGAGGCCTCCAATGCCAGCCGCTGCTCCACCAACACTTGTTTCTCCTCCCGGGCTCTCCCGGCCCCACCAGTTCCTGTATCTCATCCCTTGTTTCCTGTTGTTCCTAATAACAATCTTGCCCAAAGTTCGCCATTCTTAGCACTAATGTTGTCAGGGAGTGTGCCATTTCAACTCTGCAGTTGAAACAAAGAGCTTATTTGACCCAAACATGGGCATCAATGCTCCTGAGGCCATTGGTTATCAGACTTCAGGCATTCAAGTCTAGAATTGTAATGTCTTTATCTATTTTGTTGAAGGTCTGACACTTAGAACATGGTTCCTGTTGGGAAGTTACTTAACACCATTTACTGTTGTGCCTTAAGATAGGATAATCAGCTCTGTTCTGATCCTTTAGTACGAAGTAGTATTCATTTATTGTTTTTGAAAGTGCTTTGAGGGGAAATGGCTGCAGCCTGCAGCCTGCAGATACCTTGAGTTAAAAACATATATATTAGGAATTTGTTATTTTGGTGGACAATATGGAAGGAGAGAAATTCTTGGTGTTTTAAGAGCATAGAGAGCAGTATGCACCAAATTAAAGCTTAATTGCATCTTGCTACTAAGTTTTTGGTGTAATCAGTTACTTTTAAATGATCCTGTCTCTATCATTGATGTTTTAGACTCATTATAGACACAGGATCATAGAATCATAGTTGTAGGTAGTACTTCGTAAATATGGCGCTGCTACAACTCTTGTAAGATTCGGATTCTAACATATATAGAAAAAGTTACTAGTTTCAAAAAAAGAATTTGTATTTTTGCTGTTATAGTAGTACTCTTGATAGGAGGAAGAAGTATGTCTTTTTTTCTTATCAGGGGAAAAGATTTAATATGTTTGGAGTGCGAGGTGCAATTTATGCCCTGTAATCTATTTTGAACCATTTTGGTACTTCTTGCAAATATTTTACGTACGAAAAAAATAGAAATGCAAAGTGTGTTTTAGTTGGCCTTTCTTTCCGAACTATGGAGGTAGTTTTGATATCTTTCAGAGGGAAAATTTATTAGTTGCTTAGATGAGGTGATGGTACAAACATCATTTGATGTACATGCTAGTATATTTTGGTGAGATATCAGGGAAAAAATGGGCAGCCCATGGTATCAAATTATTTTGTTGGTTTAAACCCTGTACAATATTTAGAGGTGATAGTGAGGATAATCTAGGTGTCATCAAACTTCCCTATGAAGCCATGGCCTGTAAAATGAGATAAGAGGGTTCTTAGTTCATTCTTATTCATAATGATGAAATTTGACGTTGAAGGTGTTGACTGTGGTCTACAGGCTTCGTAATTTTCCCGAAGCACAGGAAATGGGCACCCTATTTTTTTCCTCGTATAGCATTTTCTGTTAAATGCTATACTATGCAACTAAAGCTATGTGTCCTTACTGTTTTTTTTCTAATTCTTCATTTGATTTCTTGCAGCCATTTCTTGTGAGCTTAATTATTTTGGGTTAGGATCCCTTTTATTTGTAGTGATCCTCAATTTAATTGAAAATTTCATGTGGGTCTTCAAGGATGAGTTATGAATGATATAGTAATGAGACAATTGATACTATTTTTTTTTTGTACAAGTAACATTTGTATCATAAAACTCAGCACTTAGGTAGTGCTAAACCCCTTTACAACAAGTCAAAGTATAGCAATATATCAAAGGACCCCCAATCCTAGCATGATTCTAACACATCTAGGATATTTTCTGCATCTATAGGGGAGTTCCTTGTACACCAAAAACACAAAAGCAAAATACAATTTGTTTTGATTTTCTCTATTGTTCTACTCTTGTCTTCGAAACACCTAACATTTCTCTCCTTCTAGATGGTCCACCATATACAAGATGGTGTGGTTCTCCAGTAGCTACTGTTTTTTGCTCCCTTCCCATCTTCTTCCCACCTAGATAGAGTGTCAACAATCTCGCTAGGCATTGTCCATTGTATGCCTCCGAGATTAATGAAAATCTTCCATAGTTGGTTAGTGAGTCTACAATGCAAAAACAAAGTAACCATTGTCTCAGCTGCCTCACTACATAAACAATTTGAGTAATATAATGTTCCTTTTTATGAGTATGTTATAACTCCTATAACTAGGCAGTTTTAGAATTTTATTTAGTACTGTTGTGGAAATGCCTTTATTAGTACTGCTGTGGGGCAACACCAGATATGGGCATCTGGTGGAGACATTGATTCGGATTACTTTTTACGCTTGTGATCTTCAAAATAGTCGTATATACTTTTTTTTTGCTTTGTATAACAATATAATAATTATTGAATTTGCATTTGTTTAATAGTTGAGAGTCCGGTAAGTATTGCCTTTTTATTGATTTTCGTTCATCTCTTTGCTACTTTTCATTTGTTGAATGTTAATTAGTACTTTAATTCATTTTCATGTCAAGTTTTCTTGTATATATTCTGTCTGTTTTTGCTTAGTTTACTTATTTTTCGTCAATGGATTTTAGTAGAATTCATCATTTCACTTCTTAGTTGAAGTCAAATTTCTAGTTTTCTAGTGCTCGAATGCAATGGCCACACAATGCTAAGCTTGATGTGTGGAGTATCTTCCACAGAATCTTAAGCACCTCGAAAATGTTTGAATTGAATATCAGTGAGTACATTGGATGGAAAGGCAATCTAATATTTTTGTCAAATGAATTAACCTTAAAATATGTGTTTTCATATAAATTACTTGATCGTGGTTAAATATTATGTATCTTATTATAATTTATAACTTGCTAACACGTTTATGTGTGCTATTCAAGTAAGAAAATACTACTAACATTTTATACTCTAGATTATTATTAAAAATAATCCACATGTGTTTTCCATCCACTGCGCATCAAATTTGGAAATACAAAACGTTCAACTATGCTAGCGGAATGACATAGTCCTCTAGCTAGAAAATGAATTAATTCTGTAGATAAATAGGACCCGAAGCTTCTGATTAAGAATGAAGGGATACTTATCATTACCATAGCTTTGTTGATGACATGATGTAGTTTCAAATGGCAAAAACTTGTGAAAGTATTAATAGTGAGCTAGATCAAGGGTGTGTTTGGTATAATGTAGTGTTCAGGGAAGCATGAAGCGGAAAAAAACGATAAAGGCCCACTTCACGCTTTAAGCGATGAAGTGCTCGCTTTAAGCGATGAAGCTGTCACATACTCATTCTAGTCTGTGAAGCATAGAAGGCTCGCATCGCTTTGCTTCATCGCTTTAAGCGAGGAAAGCGCTCGCTTTCCTCAACACTAGTATGCATAATGTTTTTCAATTTTCTCATGTTTGGTTGGGTCAAATGTTTTGGAAAATATTTTCTATATAAACTCATTTATCTCAATTTAAGGAAAATGACTGCCCTTCAAAATATAAGGAACACAGGTTCAAAAACTGTTTTCCAACCTCCCCTACCTACCCCACCCTACCAGCCCCCAACCCACCCAACCTCTACCTGCCCCCACCGACCGACCAACCCACTCCTACCAGCCATCCACCCACATTACCAGCCCCCAACCCCAACCCCTACCAGCCCCTCTACCCTTAAAAAGAACTTAAGTTTATTTTAAAAAAAATAATTTTAACTTCAATTCATTTTTTCACCCCTACCCTCGAACCCCCTATCCCAAAAGAATAATTGAAGTTTGTTTTTACAAATATTTTCAACTTCAAAAATTCATTTTTTCACCCCTACCCTCGACCCACCCAGCCCACTCCTTTAAGTTTGTTTTTAAAAAAATATTTTTAATTTCAAAAATTATTTTCTACTCATGTAAAAAATAAAAGATATTTCTCAAAAATATTTTTCATTCAAAAATCAAACATTAAAATATTTTCTATTCACCAACCAAACATGAGAAAATGAGTAAATCTACTTATTTTCGAGGAAAACATTTTTTAGGAAAACATTTTCCGTGGAAAATATTTTCCTTCATACCAAAACACACCCTAATAAAAAACACAAGATCATTGTATAAGGTAAACAAGAAAAGTTTGAGATCAGAATTTGACTATTATTATGCCGTCAATTATTTGGTCCCATTCTCGTCATTTATTAGCTTACCATAAGAAGTTTCAAGTCCTGATAATGAATCAGATTCTATCAAATCAAGTGACAATGGTGTTATGGAGGTCAATGAACTAAAGCGAGAAAAGAAGCTCTCGGATCTCTATTTTTGTTTAGTGAAATGTCTACTAGGCTGTGTCTGGATGCTAATGTTTACAGTTTTCAACTTTTAAATAAATGGATTGTTGACCTAAATCGATATGCTTGTGATAGCTTAAAAGTAAACCACCTAGAATGAGGTAAGAAATGAATCAACTGAAGATTTGTTATTGCTTTTGAAAGAGTGATAGCAGCTTTGTGCATCCTGCTCCTTGTTGAAAAGCAATATCCCAGTACACGCTTTGCTAGAAGTAGGAGATGAGGATGTGGAAGATGAAGATGATGGTTTATATGATGATGAGAATCTGGATGTAACGAATAACAAATTTTTGAGGTGGAAGAGATTTTTAATGTTTGTTATGGAGGACTAGTGAAAATAAAGAAGTCAATGATTTACTTAAGGTACGTTGGAAGGATTATGACCCCGATGAAATCAGTTAAGACGATGAAAAACTTTAGATTAATTGCCTCCAAAAAATAAAAGATTTTGTAACCAAGAGTTTCAAAGCAACTATTTTGCGATTAACTTGGAAGTAGACGTCATATGTGAGGAATCTCCTTGCCAGGGCATAAGTGAATTTAATCGTTTTAGAAACATAGCAAATTCATTATAAGATTCAAAAAATAAATAACTTGAAGTATTGATGAGCTAACTTTTGGAGATGTGTCATATCTTTACGTAGAATCATAGCCAAACCCATTCTAGTTTGTTGTTCACCAATGTTGGGGCCCATGAGGAAGCGATGTATTTCAAACAAAATTAACATCGTTTGTGGCATTAAAAGATTCGACTAAAATCGTTGATAAAGCATCGATTTTGTCAACAATTATTTTTTTCTTTTGAATAAATTTGAAATCGCTGCATGGGTAATGTTTTCATAAAACTGAAATTGCTGCATGCGTAACGATTCGGTTCAACATAATCTGATCCTTCTAAATGGGGGCTCAACATTGGTGAAATACAAATTGGGATGAGTCTGGCTCTAATCCTATGTAAGATATGACACATGAGTCTAACTCAACTTCAAAAGCTAACTCATGAATACTTCAAGTTATTTATTTTTTGATTCTTTGCAATGGATTTGCTAAGTTCTTAAAACGAATAAATTCATTATGCCCTGCCTTGGCAAGGAGGGTCTTCGCATATGTTGTTTGCTTCCAAAGCTAAACAGTTGTTTTGAAGCCCTTGGTTACAAAAAATTTTATTTTACGGAGGTAATAATCTAAGTCTTTTATCGTCCTAAGTGACTTCAATTCGGGCCATAACCATTCCAACATACCTTAAAGTAAATGATTGACTTCTTTATTTCCACTAGGCCTCCATAGAGAACTTTTAAAATATCTTCTACCTGAAAAATTTGTCATTCATTACCGCCAAATCTCCATCATCATATGTACCAGCATCTCATCTTCCACATCCTTATCTCCTACTTTTAGCAAAGGGTGTGTTGGGTATTGCTTTTCAATAAAGAGCAGGATGCACAAAACTGCTCGCACTCCTTCAAATGCAATAACAAATTTTCAGCTGATTCACTCCTTACCTCAGTTTCGTGTGATTCACTTTTAAGCTGTCTCAAGCATATCGATTTAGGTCAACAATCCATTTAGTTAAAAGTTGAACACCGTAAACATCAGCATCCAGACACAACCCAGTAGACATTTCACTAAACCAGAATAGAGATCCAAGAGCTTCTTTTCTCCCTTCAGTTCATTGACATCCATAACATCATTGTCACTTGATATGATAGAATTTGATTCATTATCAGGACTTGAAACATCTTATGGTAAGCTAATAAATGACAAGAATGAGACTAAATACTTGATGTCATAGTAATAGTGATATTTGATCTGAAACTTTTCTTGAACTGCTTACATTTGAGGGTATTGAAATAATCTTGTTTTTCTTTACAAGGCAATAAGGGTTGTCAGCCTTAATTTCTGATAAGAGTGCACACTTGTTGTCGATAAATTGGTCATGATCTTTAATCACAATATCCTTGGCTCTTGACTCTATAAAATCATTGAGCAGTAAAATACTTCATATCATCGACACCATGGAAAAACTCAAAAATATTGCATATATAATCATCTGCAGCCTTTACATGAGCATCATTCCCAAGTTAAAAACTGCTTTAAAATTATTTTTAATATATGTGAAACGATCAACTAAATTTTTGTTGAACAATTATAATACTTGATCTTATTAATTTTCAAGTGTATCACAATTGCTTTCTTTATGATTAAAAAAAAAGAACATCACTTCTATCATCTTTTCAAATCCCCGCCACCACATATTAAAAACAGCCACAGAGAGGGGCATGTGAGTAAGTTTTTTGTGGTTTGAATGGTTTGAGACCACGGATCAACTTCAGGATCAATGGAGGACTATAAAGACACATAGGTTCCCTTGGTTAACAAATTCAATAAAGGCTCAAATAATTGTGTTTCCGCTGCATTACTAAATTGATAACCGCAAAGTAAAGAAAGAGTTGAGGATTTCATTTCCCAAAGGTGAAGAGCAATGGAAAGTATAAGAATAGTTACCCTGACTTGGTGGGTTAGAACACTATCCAAAATTAGAAACCTTGAGGTCAATCGAAGCATCCAATATTAAATTTTCAGGCTGCACGAGAAAAAGAGAGTTTAATTTCTATGGACTAACATTGTGTAACTCTTTTACATCATCATTGTCACGTATATAAGTTAAAATCCGCCAAAAAGATGTAGGATATTAGTTAGTTTGTAGGTGTAGCTTCCTAGAATGATTTACTAAATTCAGTGAGTTGTTTCAAGGGATCAAAACAGTGAGTTATTATTGGAATTCCTTCCCCACTCTTAGGTTCCGTTACTTCAGTTTGTTTTGTAACTCTTTTTCTGTTATGGTTACTCAAAGAAAATTTAGGACTAATATGTTAACCTTCCCTTTTGTTTCCATTGTTCCGGAAGCCTCAAGTTTGTTGAACTGAATTTTCATAGATTGCCAGATTCTAGACTACAATATGTGTTCTTGAATTGTAATTGATTATAAATTCTTTAAAATTACCTCACGGTTTTTGTCGATTGTTTGTACAGAGGGAGTTTCCCACAGGAGAACCCTTCTGGATTAGCCTCAATGCCTTTGTATAAGTCCTTCAAATGACTCTTTTATTGGTATTAGTATTGATATTTATTGATTTCGAGTCAATCATACGTGCGCCGTTCGTTTTTAGTTTATCTTTCATCCCCTCTTTGACTCTTCATTTTAGATTATTCATCCGTTTACTTTGATTTGCAGAAACGAATGTCCCTTGCATTCACAACAACCTTCATCTGCGAGCAAAGTAATGTTCATCATCTGCTGAAGCTTCAATTCTGGACAAGGTAACAACTGGTGATTTTTCTGAAACATTCTTATTCTCATTCTTCCGCTGACATCTTTTCTTCTCTTAGTTTGTGAGTTTTCAAATGGTGCTTAGTTATAAGTTGTAGGTTGTTACGTTATATTGATGATTAATTGACTATTACCTTTCATTTTTCTACTTCCTCTAATGACTGTTCGGGCCAAGTGAACCATCAAGAGTACTGATTTGTCTCCGGTGTAAGCAATCTTGAATTTACCCAACTTCGATTGAAAATTTTAATGTGAGAGTTCGCAATTTTTGTTCTTAGTTTTTTTTTCATCTTTATAATGTAATCGTTACTATATTTATGGTTGTCTTGTAATTATGATATACTTTTACAAATTGGGGTATTGTGGTTCTTGGTTTGGCTTCTATATTGATTTCACATGAATAAATATTTATAAAAAGTTTTAGCCCTAAACTTTGTCATATAGGCACTAAAAACCTATTTCATAAGTTCGCTCACAATATTTATAGTAATGAGTTCGTTTAACATTTATTATTCTCAAATAAAGTTGAAGATGGATACATGAAGTAGTTGATTCTACTACTAACCTTTTTTTATAATGCTTGTAGCAATTTCATGTTTAATGATACTTGACTTTCAGGATGAGTTGTTCACCTTTCAATTATTGGTCCATGATCATTAGCAATTGTTCCTCTTTACCTCTTCTTTATCAATTTATGTGTTCCTCCATTCTGATTCTTTTATAGATATGGGTTACGTTGTCTACCTTTTCGATTGAGTTTATTGACACTTTATCTTTTAAATCTTTTTCCTACTCATTTTTTTAATTTCCCATGTTAATGTGGGGTTGCCTGCTGATCTAATGAATCATATATGAGGTTGTGAAGTTATAGACATTTTTCGAGTACATGTTGAAGAACATGGTTCCAAACTTTTTTTGCTTGGCCTCTTTCAATTTGTGTCATTCAAAATTCTGATTTATGTTAGTAGCGGTCTTCATGTAATATGTTCTGTTTGGATGGAGTCGGGGCTGCTGTCTAATATATATTCTTAGACCTTAAATTAATATATACTGTGTGTATTATGCTTAATTATAATTGTGTACTTCCTTTCCTATTGTCATTTAGTCCCTCTCATTTGTTTGTTTATAGATATGTACTTTCTTTTCTCCATTATTTATTCCTGTAATTGTTTTTCCAGAAGATTAAGCTTCCACCTTTGGTCCTAGCACTATTTTTTGAAAAGCTAGGTTGAAGAAAGATGCCCAACACTTTAAAAAGGTACATGACACATCGAGTGCCACACTATTGCTGTTACATTGTTGATACTATACTCTACTTCCATTGCTAAGACGTTTTCTCCTATTCCAACAGGAAATTTAACATGTATTTTGTCATCACACATACAAAGTTGTAACAGTAACTAAGAATACCAAGATGACAGCCACCAATAGTGCTGGCAATTTAAGTTCATTTTTTACTGACCCGTCCAAATTGCCCATCAAATATGTGTTCAAAAAGTAAAGGAAAAATTACCTATACATACATCTTTTTCCATAATTTCCATTAATTCTTGCCATTTTTAACAATTTTCAAAATTCCTTATTTTCCTCCTAAAACTAATCAGGCGGATACATAACTCATAACTCCAAAAATCAAAATTTATCACTTCCTCATTTCATTCCATAAATCATAAATCACTCTCCATTTTCTTGTCAGTTGATTTCTCAATTACTTTTGAAATTCAAAATCAAGTCTTTATCTAGTCAAAACTAATTCAACATGAAATAGGTAACTTGTTTATCTGTTCAAATTATCTGTTTGTCCTTCATTTTTATTTTTTTTTCTTTCTTCTTCGAAACATTGAAAATGCACCATCTTTTAGTCTTGCTTTTACACAATTAAACGCAAATAACACTCCTTGTGTTTTTTTATTTCGAAGATATTGTTTGGGTTGAAAACAAATCAAAAAACTGCACGACTCATCAATAGCGAAAGTAAACATTGAGAAGTTGGAGATAGAGCATATAATATCAAATTTGCCATGAGACGAAAAGCACTTATATTATGCGTGAACAACAAAGGGGGGCGATAGGTGATGGACATATCAAAAGGTTCATTCTTAGTCGAAGATTGATAACTTTTCTATTCAAGGAATTCTCAAAAATGGTGAGGTGTGAGTTTGTCGAAACTACAGAAAGTTCATCAATACTAAATAGAACTTATATATCATTTTTTTTTTGAAAAAAAAACTATCAATTTTTATACTTTTTTTATTGGTAAATCATGAATGACCCACAAACGACAAATTCATGTTTCATATTGTGATGTATCAGTATTTAATTGCAATCAATTAGTATGTTGATTTTGTTCTATTGATTGTTGAATGTGTTTCAGTTAGCTAATCAAATAATGATCCATTAATGAAAATATAATGTGTCATATTATAATGTATCAATATTTTAAATATAATTAGTTGATACACTAAATCCTAATTTTGTTTATTATTTTGTGGAGTTGTAATTTTCTGAAATTGTTGATATAAAATAATGTTTAATAGTGTATCATTCAAAACATGTATTTTTCAGTATGTATCAGATACAAAAATTTATGAATAATGTATCTGATACAAACATAAGATAAATGATAAGTTACTAATTTAACTGTACTTCTTTGTTTATATCATGTTCAATGGGATGAAAAATTTTTGTGTCATGATCAACTGGAGGACATTTGTGTATCACGTGTGGAGTTGTTGTAATTATGTTAAATTATTGATACAAAAATTCAGCATTCGAGTTGATTATCTTTGCACAAGATATGAAACAATATTATGGAGATACATACTGAAAAGGCAAAGTCAGACTATGTTAGCGATATAGATGATACTCTAAGGCTTAAAGGACGCTTCATTCTACGGCATCAAGATGATTTAATTCTTGTCGAATAGCTATTATGTACCAATGAATAGACACCCTTTAATGTTTTGTGTCTTCTTTTAAGACAATTTTACTTAGGGTTTAGGTGTTACTCTAAAAACTGTTTCATGTCATTTTTTGAACTTGAATTTGATTTTTTTTGTTATTGATTATATTGTATAAAATTTTTATATTTTGTGTTTTAATGATAATGTTGATACATAACATATGATATGATACTTAAATCTTTCAGATTATTCATTTGAAGTTCAGAACTATAAGTATAGATTCATAACTAAGTTTAATCATTTGTATATAAAGAAAAATGGTGCTTGTTTGATACATTACGTGCATATGGTGTTTCCCACTTGTTGAACATGATATATAAGGAAAATTCTGAAACATATAATCAATCTTTCACTTCATATATAGATATGATATATTAGATATGAGCTTTATCAATGCATATAAATTACATTATTATGTATCAGATTCACATAACTTATTATTGGATAACTTAGATATGAGTCTTATCAATGTTTATTGATTCACAAAAGTTAATTATGTATCAAATAAATTACTCACACACACAAAACTGAACTATTTTTTAAAATAAAAAATAGTGAAACTCACATATATTGTATGGATACTTCACATTGTTAACAATTCAAACTATTTTATGGAAATATAACAGTGCAAAATTCATATAATTGAAAATTTATTAAACATGAATATAAATGTCTTATACAAATTCAAATTTACTTTCTCTTGGAAAAAACGAGTATAAGTCCTATGATTGTGGTATCTATTCCACAACTATTCATGTATCTCGACTTTTAAACGGTTAAATACATGTATCTTGCCTTTAATGATGTATGTAGCTCGCAGTCAAAATATGATATAGAAAGTAATGTTATAAATTATCGTGAATCTTAGTAATTAGGATTTAAAGTAGTGAAATTTATGTATAATCTGCAATGTAGTAACCAGAATAGTAAGGATGCATATATGTAACATCTTGCTCTTGAAAATAACAATTGCGTATGCACAAGGTATTTCGTCTAGTTGAAGTCTTTTCATAATACATATTTTTCACTCAAGACTAATAATGTATCTTCTTCCAGATTCATAGACCAAAAGGATAAATTCAGGCGACGTAACAACCTGCAATAAGTCTGTGATACAGTAAATAAAATACATTTTTGATGTTTTTGAAGCAAGACTGATCAATGTTTTTTCAATGGTTCAAGGATTGACAAACATGAAAAGATAGAAAAGAACATGCTTGAGTTTTGATCGAGAAAAATTGAACATGACAAAAACTTGATGGCATCCCAACTAGTAAGACATGCATCTCTCTGTACCAAATTAACAACCCCGTCATTTTAAAATAATTTCTTTTTGCTCTTGTTTGAACAAAAACACTAAAAATAATTACCAGAATTGGCAAAATTGAACCATTGTTGAAGATCTTCTTGCGTTCTTTTGAACATCAATTAATGAGGCTTGATAGATCGCCGGATGTAGTCAATGTACCTCTCCAACCATCTTGTTTGTTGTATCAATGACATATTTGAGATTTAAATTACTTTTGTAACTTTTATAACTCACTTCGTTCACCTAAATTTTTGAATATCTCAACGAAATTGATATATTCATCTTGTATCAATAATTTTTTTGAATCACTTTTTTCGACATTAATCGTTGTTCAATGGAAAAGATATAAATGTGAAATTTGAATTGTGAATTTGTTACCTATTGGTGTAGGGATTGATAAGAATTAATTAGGCATTAATCAAGGAATTAAAATCAGTAAAAATATATTTTACGTGCGTTATCAAGGAAATTAAAATATGTAAAAAATAAATTTTACTTTATCTGCTCCTTTTTAAGCGCAACAAAAAGCTATTTTGCAATGTATCAAATATAATGTGTTCGGACGGTAAGTATGTATCTGGCTGCCTCTGTTTTAAGGGATTTTTGTAAATTGAGAATTAGTAGGGATAGGGTGTAATTTGAATCTTACACTATGGGATTTCTATAATTTATACGATTTTTCAAAACTTTCGTATAAGGTCCCTCTTATTATTTCAACTCTCAACCCCCCACCCCCACCCCCGCCAAAAAGAAAATTTAAAATTTATTTTTAAAAGATATTTTGAACTTCAAAATTTCATTTATTCACTCCTACTCTCGATCCCCCCTCAACCCCCCCCCCCCCCCCCCCAAAAAAAATAAATAAAAATTTAAGTTCGTTTTTAGAAAATTTTTTCAATTTCAAAATTTTATTTTTTCATCCATACCATCAGTCCCCTACTGCACCCCACCCCTAACCAACCCCCACCCCCCCAAAAAAAATTAAGTTTGTTTTGAAAAAATATTCAACTTCATATATTTATTTTTTCACCCCCGCTCCCCTCCCTCCTACCAACCCCACGCCTCTACCTCCAACCAACCCCAACCATTAAAAAATATTAAGTTTGTTTTTATAAAATGTTTTTAACTTCAAATATTTATTTTTTCACCCTACTTTGGACCACCACGCCCTCACCCCGATTTTTTTTTTTACTTTTATGATTAATAAAACTAAATGAAGCATTTCCAACATATTTTATCTAAAAAAGACTAAAATATTTTCTCCATATTGAATTCTTAAGTAAAAAATTATTTATTCATGAATTATGGGTATAATATTACCCAACCCATTTTTACCCATATCAAATATGGGTGGATTGAATGATTACCCATTTTCAACTCGCCCATTGCCACCATTAACCACCAATATAGTAATGGTCTGCTTTACTATTTAGCCTTTTGCGGTACCATCTTTTGTAAATGTGTAAATACATGCATAGACCGTGCAATCGTGAAACTAATGTATATTGAATATGTGAAGTCTTTTACTATCAAATGTTCTTCAACCACCACTTTGTGTTGAAAGGACATGTATGATATATTTCAACCAAAACTTGTTTAAGCTTGAGACATAGTATTGTTTGAGTATCGGGAAACAATAGATCACAATGGACACATACAATCTATTTTAGCCGATCAAACTTGTTTAGGATTAATATTTGAGAAATAGCTGATTGATTGAATATACATAACTATCTAATATAAAATACACCAATGATACTACACTAAGGTTACACATAATAGGTAACATTAAGCTAGTATGCCAAAAGAGGCTTTCCAAACTGCTTAAAAGATGCAA